AGGTCATGTTCACATCAGGTGTGGTGCATCAGTTTGAGTATATTCTCCTGAAGGATCAGCAGCAGTAGCAGCACAACTCCCCTTTAGCGCTGACTCGAACAACATCATGTTCAATTGTTTGAGGTGTTCCTTGAGTCTATTGCTGAGAGTGGGCGAGAGATTCAAGTTTCTCATCAAACTCTTGCTGCAAGGACTGCCTTATTTGATTGAACTTCTCTTCAAACTGCATCTCCATTTTATGCAAGGCCTCCTGGCTGCAAGAGTCGACAGTGGTCCTTCGTGATGTTGGACCAAAGTAATCACGAAGGCCCCAGGATCCACCAGTACCACACACACGTCCCGAGTAATCTAGTTTTCCTATGGTTGTCGCCAATATATCTTGTCGACCAGTGAGGAATAAATGATACTTGAGTGGTCCGCTCAACTAAATCATCCTACAACACATTAACAATAACTAAGTCATACACTAACTTTCACATCAGAATCAATTCAAACTGACATTATAACTTACGATTTTATGAGCAATGATTCGTGCAGACTCAAAAGTCATTTGTCGATCAGATTTTGTCTGGGCTGCCTTCCATATCTCATAACGAGGGGGTGGAGATGCAAGGTCAGTAGACTCAACTCCTGCTGACTCTTCTCTGGCTTTCATGAGACATTGCTCCAATAATGCATACCCTCCTCGTGACAATACATGGGGTGCATCATTGAACCTCTGACGTTGTTGGGCAACATATCTTTTATCCTGCTAAGAGGGGTCCATTCGGCTGGCACAAAACTGTAACCAATCCTCCTCACTAATTTGATACTTTAGACAGGGAGATTCATCTTGAAACTTTCCAAATACATACTCCTGTGTCAAGAAAGTCTTAAAGTCCCTCCATCTAATGGAAGTGGAGGATAAAATCTTCTTCCTCATCACCTCAGTGTTAGGAACTTCAAAATTTTGTTGTGAAATGACCAATAAATGTTAAATTCAATTAATGATATATAAAGTGTTCAACAAATATAGAAATACTTGACCATCCTGCCACATGAGGTTCTTCTCAGTTTCCTCTACATCATCCCAAGATGGAGTAGTAATCGGAACATGGTGTCGAGCTAGTAGTCCCAAATAGCTCTTAAACTTAGCAGCATTTGGGCCGGATGCCTTACCGGAACGTGGATCAACTTCAACTTGAGTTTTCTCTCTAGCGACCCTCCTTCGTCGTCAACCCCTTTAACCGGGTGACAGATCTCTACCTCCACCTCCGCTCCCGCCACTTGTCACTACCACTACCGAGTACTCGAGATGTGGAATCCGACATATCCTAAAAAACAAAACAATATGAAGTCAACATACTTTATAAGTTTGAATAAAAAGAACTAGAAAATGTGACGATAAACACCTATTATGTTCTTGTACAATATACAATCATTAAGACATGCATGTATCTTCTTGTACTCTAAATCCATTGGACATAATATCTTCTTTGTCTCATAGTTACGAATAGGTAGTGTATTATCTTTGGGAAACATCTCCTTTAACAACTCCAATAATTCGGTGAAACTTTTATTAGTCCATCCATTTCTTGCTTTTAAAGTAAACAATCTTAAAGTTATTGATAATCTTGTAAAAACTACATCCTATGTACAATTGTTACACAAAATCAGATTTCAAAGAATCATATAAATGTGATTTCATAAAATTTTCTTCACCAATATCACGTATCATATCCTCTAGATTATCATCCATCCTTTCGTCAAAATTGTTTGTAGTTGACATAGCTGTGATGTCTAATATTTCTCCATGCCATGTCCATATTGTATAACTCTTAATAATACCATAAACAAACAAGTGATCACATATATCCTCAAGTTTATGACAAATTTGATTCAAACAACAAACATATGGACAATAATATGTCCCTTTCATAGCTTTTCCATTTTCACTAGCAAATTTCAAAAATTCCTCAACTCCCTTTTCGTACTCTTCACTAATACGACGTGTATTCATCCAACTTCGATTCATATTATGTTATAAAGTTTCGTCACTCCTAGAGATTCAAAATTTATATTTAAAAAGAAATTAATATACAAACAACAAAGCACGTAAATGGAGTGTGTAAACCGAAAATGCACTCAAACAAATAAACAAATAATGACATTCCAATAACAATATAGTGGAGACATTCATACAATAATGTAATTGAGATCCCCAAAAACAATCACGGATTCAATTTAAACATATATCAGAAGACATAGAATACTAACCTCGAGTATACACAAAAATGATTTCAAACTCGAATCCAATCGGGGAGAAATGTCAAATTCGTAAAATGAGTCACAATGTTAATGTTTTTCACTGTCAAAATGATCGAAAATGTTGTGAAAAGGTAGTTGTCGTCGTTCTCAAAAACCCTTGCTGTGTGAGATGATGGAGCGGGTGCTGGAAGAAAATAAAAGGCATTTTTTACGTTGCGCATCCTAGGAGGTGCGTAAAAGAGGCTTTTTATGTCACCTCCTAAGATGTGCGACGTAAAAGTTTTGCCTCTTATTTACAAAATTGTCGCCGCGTTTTATTTACGTCGAATATTTTTACATGTGACGACAATTGGGTGATGTAAAAGCCATTTTTTGCACTAGTGGTGGAGTTATTTTGACATGAAAAAATTGTGTTTGGAAGGACAAATTTGATATTAATTATATATATATATATATATATATATATATATATATATATATATATTACATAACATGAGTTTCATGGAGATGGTTATGATTGAGTTCCTTGGTATGCGCAATTACAAGTGACACATATCAATAGAGTGGAACGAAGGGAAGCGAGTTACAAGAAAATAACCATTCAAAGATTCTAATTAATATTTTTATTTTATATTTTCATTATTATTATTATTTTATTTTTATGTTACCTTGGAGGTTACATTGAAAAAAAAAAAATATATATATATATAGGATAAAATAAATGTAACCGAGGTGATTTTCAAATTGTACGAAGACTTGCATTCTAAAAAACGCTACGAACATGGAACAAATATTTTCAATGGAGTTCATTGCAATTTGAATCACCACTTTCGTCGATTTCTTTTATCAATTTCTATTTTATTCTTGATAATGGGTTAGATTTATTTTCCTACTATTTACTTTCTTGCATATTTACTTTTTAGCAATCTACTTTTATAGTTTTTTACTATTCTTGCAATTTACTCTAGATGTTTTAGATTTTATTGAATATAAAAATTGAATACGAGCAATCTTTAATTGAAATCTATTGTGTCCTAAATTTGGAATAAATTTAAGAATCGATATAGTGTTTAAGTGACTTAAGGCATAAATTTGTTATTTATATCAAACAAGGAATCATTTATATTAGAAACAAGTTCAAAACATAAATTTAAATCAAAATTATATTATGTTCAAACATAAGTCTAATAATGTAATAAATTTAAATAAAATAAAATTAGAAATTTTTCAATTGATATTTTCTATTTCAACCACCTTCCTTTGGCTACCATTCATTTCGCCAATCTTTAACTTTAAAGAGTTTCAATAGAGAAAATAAATTTATTACAATGTCTAATAAATCTAATTTATAATTAAAAAACTAATTTAATTCCCTAACATAAAAACATTTTATGCAATCTAATGTCTAGATGTCCACCCTCATTGGTTTGTAGGTTGAACTCGTGAGTGAGGAGTGCATACCTATTTAGCAAACCGTGAGTGAGACTTAGAACTAAATAATTTATAAAATATATTATGCTAGATCATAACAAAATTTTCATTTATTTTATTCCTCTCAATTGAAAAAAAAACAATAAAATAGAATGAAATAAATTCCATTCTTTTTCAATGCATTTCATCCACATTTAATCAATTCAAACATACCATTAATTCATACCTGACTAAGATAAGTGGAAATTAAATGGTCATTAATTTCCCAAAATAAATTATCAAAAGTCCACAATAACCAAGCCTCGACAATGTCTTTTATATCTATCATTCAATGTTATACAAGAAATTACACTACAAGAAACAATAGATTTATCGACGGATAAAATTCGTCGAAACAACAAAAATTCGTCGATAAATATATATTATCGACGATTTACCGACAAAAAATAATTTATCAAAAATTTCATTGTCGGTAAATATTATTAACGGATTTGAATAGTTCATTGGTAATTACCGACGAATATACCTGTCAGAAAGTATTATAGATAATTACCGACGAATATATCCGTCGAAAAGTGTTGTAAGTAATTACTAATCCATCCAATGTTGGGTCTCCTTAATCAATGTCAATTTCATTTTAAAACTAATTGAGATTTTAAATATATATATATATATATATATATATAATTCGCAATTTTAAGAATGGCCCGTGAGACTTTTTAAGTGTCACAATTATATACATTAGTCTCTTATATAGAAATTGATGCAGACATAGTTTCCACAGAAGAAGTTTTCTCACTAACAAAAATTCGTGCATAAATGTAGAACAAAAGCACAAAATAGGTATGTTTGTTATGTCTGATCCTTTATATATACTTTTTAGCAAACCAATCTCATGACAATAAAAAATAATAAACAATTAATTTATTTGTTGCTAATTCTTTTGGCACAAATTTTGTTGTTGTTGCCTTTAACAAACAAGGATAAGAATCCATTATCTATATCCTATAAATTGAAAAGGTCTATAACTGTTAGCAAACAAAGAAAACACAAGTCTTCTAAAAGTCTTCTCGTAAACAATATATGAATCATGCAGGCCTCAACATATGAAACCAATCTTCTGCCTAACTAAGGTAAAGCATAAGATGCTGCAACATTATCCCTCCATTTGCCCACAGTTGAGTTTATTTCATTCCCTCAATTTACTACCAATTTGGTGTAATTGCCCTATTATTATGCTTAAACTCAGCTATAAATTAATGTATTATGTAGTGTTAAAACTTGAGGCTAGGTGAAGTGTTTGCTTAGAAGAGTATTGTAAAATGGCATCCCTCAAAGCTAACAAACCTGTTGAGAATTGTTCTTCCTCTGCAAGGCAGGTGAAGAACAAGACTTATGCCAAACCTAGTTCAGGCACCTCCAAAGTCGTAGCCTCCAAACCAGCTCCAAAAAAACTCCAAGCCAGACTAAGACAGAGACAGAGAAGAGAGAAATTGAAGCGAGAAAACGAAGTGAGAAACGAAGCGAGAAATTGAAGGTGAAAATAAACCCTAACCTTTGCGAGAAAGAGAAGAGAAAAGGGAAATCGTGTGACACTAGGTGGGGAATTTTACCTGGTTATATCTGTATCTACCTATGCAAGGCCACGACCGTTGAAGTGGGTGCCACCAGGGAAGACTTCCAACGTTTGTTTGGAGAATTGACAAATCCAGGAGAGAGCGAGGATGGATAAACTTGGTTGAAACGTTGGTCTGGCTGCTGGTCGAGGCATTTTCTTTCCTTCCTTAAATTTTTATTTTATAATAATTCAATATATTAAATAATATATTTTGAAAAACTATTTAAATCTAATCCTTATAATTTATTTATATAATGATATAAAATAATTTTTTCTTTATTTATTATTTATTTTATTTTAATTTATTCTTTTTATCTTTTTTTTCTTTTATTATTTAATTAAAATTCTTATATTAAAATAATTTTACAATATTAAAAATAATTAAATATTTATTTTTAAAATTATTTAAGTTAACAAATTATTATAAATTAAACTAATTATGATTAAATTTAATTATTAAATAAAAAAAGTATTTATTTTTTTAATTAGGTGAATAATTAATTTATTAGAATATATTTAAAATTAATTAATTATTATATAATTTTTTAATTTAATGTTGATTTTTAAAAATATACTTTAAATTCGTTCGATGATGTTTGTCGATAACTAATTGTTAATTTATCGATCGATATATCCGTCGAGTAAGATCAAATTCCACAAATACTTTAAATTCGTCTGTAATGTCCCTTGGTAAACACTTATTTTTTTACGACTACATATTCGTTGGTAACTAATTATTAATTTACCGATGGATATATTCGTCGGTAACTAATTGTTAATTTATCGACGGATATATTCATCGGTAAGACCAATTTCCACAAATACTTTAAATTCGTTCGGTAATATCCTTCGATAATCACTCATTTTCCGACGACTATATATCCGTCGGTAATTAATAATTTTCTTATAATGACTATTTTTTTTAATAACACTCTTGGTAGAATTTCCTTATATTCCTTAAAAATAAAAATATTACTTTATTGTTAATCTAGAGAATAATTAAAAATTAAAACAAATCTTTTACTAAGTTCCTTTTAATTTTAAACAAATTTCTCTAATTTTAAATAATTTGTGTATTGAATCCATAAATAAAATAATATTTTTTATCCTAAGCAATTCCTTTTAAAATATTTTACTTCTTGTCTCCGCTATTTCTCTTGTTTATTACTTTGACATTTTACAAATGATTTTAAGGGAACAATTAAAATGACATCTTAGATTTTTAAAAAACATGTGAAAAAAAAAATGTCTACAAAATTGATCGGAGATAGTAATCAGTATATTTTCTTTCATATATGTTGGTACAATGTTTGTTCTAAGTGCAATATGCCACTGAAAGAATGTTTTTTTACATGAGAAAGCAAAAGAATGGATCATGGGAAAAAAAATCATGACGTATAAGTTATGCAATTATGCACCATTTTTGCGAATCCATGGTTTGATGACACTGACAACGGTGATTATAACAAAGATGAGAAGTATCATGATTGCAACGCACATCCATTTTCTAGAGCTCTTTTGATGTTTCTTTGCCTGCAAGAGGGCATTGTTGCCCTGCTGCACGTGATCCACTGCACTTGAAACCTGATGCAATAACAGAAACAAACTTTCATCGCAAACATTACTTTTCACCAATCAATTTTTCACAGCGATTAACATATATAGCTGAGAATCGATACCCTATATATATGGTCTTATATGCAATGAGATCAAAATACCTGATTTTCTATGTTGTTAAGCATGTCTCCTTGCGCATCCACTAACACTGCAATATCCAGAAATATCTGCCAAGACATAAAGAAATTAACGTCCAAACTAGATATCTATCTCTACCTTCACATATCTAGCAGGCATATATATATATATATATATATATATAAGTGTATTCATTATAAGCATAACTCTAAACACACTTTTAAAAATAAATTACACTATTTCTAATGGCACCCTAATAATGACTTGCAAAAGCAATTTTTAGCTTCCCATGTGTGCATCAAGAAATTCAATGAAATAAAGATGACCAAGAATATTTGAACAGCAAAAATGTGACAGAAAATTCCTTCAGAAATGAAGTGATCTCACTAGTTTATTCGATGCGATATTGTTGGATTTGCAACAATAAGAAATTGAAAAACAAATACGAAAAGAAAACAACTTTATATTGTACCCAGCAATTATACAAAGAATACGTCCAACTAAAAAACAAAGTTTGTCATTGCATAAAGTGTTCACAAGACTCTGTATAAACACTTTTGTGTAACATAATCACAGAAAAATAGTTACACTAGATAACTATCAGTCTAAGACCGACTGGTAGATGGTCCATCAGACCACACCATGCCAATGGTCGGATGCCTAATCCTAGTGATCCCCTAGTCAAATAATCACAATCCATTAACCCCCCCTCCCTTTTTTGTTTTAGTGATATAATAATGGTTCTGCAGCATAGACCTTCACTATACATAACTTGTACTTATCACATTAAATGCCTTAATCACAGTCAAATTAATTGAACAAACAGATTAAATACCTGCTGCAGATCAAGAAGCTTCTTTTCAACATCTCTAACTGCTTCATGTCGCTCTTGTATTTCAGCCAAGGTGTCCACTATCTATAAAGATAACTCATGTAAGAGGCAGATTTCCTACTGTCATGCAATTTACCTATTATATCCCAAGGAAGATCAATGTTCCACACCCCTCCCCAGACCCAAAAGCACAAATCATGGGGGAAGCATTGACAATGTAAATGGTGGGTTTAGATGAGTGGATGATATTCACGTTGATATTGGATACTATAAAAAGTTGAATATGCTTTTGAGGAGGATTTGAAGGAGAAAGCAAGAAGGAGATATAAACCTGGCCTCTTCCTTGTTCCTGAATTGCCTTCTGGAAAATTTGTTCACTATCTCCAGTTTCAATTAATCTGTCAATTGTCTGTACATCGTTAAATGATTAGAAGAAAAACTTCCAAAACACATTTCCATCTATTAATAAAAATTTAGAAAAGAAAAATACCTCCTCATCAGCTCTTGTGCCCGTAACTGCGAAACATGAAAACCAGAGAATAAGGACAAATTAACTCCATTTAAACAAAATTAATGGTACATAATTGCATAAAATTGAATACAACCACTAGTGAGTAACAAACCTGTAAAAACACGTCTCTCAACAACCTCACGATACTCTTGATGGATGACCTCTCTCAGGGTCTGCAAAGATTTTTCAAAACGGATTCAGATGAATTCAAAGGACAGGAGAATAAAAAAATCACAAAAAAATGAGACAAACCCACCTGAAATTCTGCCATTTTATCTTTCAGTTTTTTTTTTAAAGAACTGCAAAATAATATAATCAAGGTACAGATGAGATGGGTCCAATAAAACATTAAATGAAATGCAATGATTCAGAAGCCTAACAGTATAATCCTAGTTGGAAAAATCCTCAGGTTTGCTCATTATGATTCAGCTTAGGTTACATATTGATAAAAGTTGAAAGCCATGAAATATATGGCAAAATTTCATGTAGTCTCTAAATATTTATATGTATGTTATACAACGAGCTGAGGACAACAAATTAACATAACTTATACTTTCATAATATTTAAGGATTATGGATTACAATTTCTGGAACAAAAGTAACCTACTACAAACTGGGTCCATATATAAATAAAGATGCTACATTGACTTTCTGCATTTAGATTCAAATGATGACAATGCCTCCCTTATGCTTTTTAAGCATTACTTAGTTGCCAGATTTATACTATCATATTAAAAGGGATACATTCATGCCGTTGATTGAATATCATCCCAGATGCAAAGGACAAGAGAAAATTTGAAACTCCGAAAGGATTGGAAATTTAGTTGTTTTAGAAGATGAATATTGATGTCGAAGAGTCTCTTATAGACTTGTATTTATCAATTTTAAAAAATCTGTCTAAGTTGTCAAACAATAATAATAATAATAATAATAATAATAATAATAATAATAATAATAATAAACCAGATCATTACTGACATGGTTGTTGCTGTTCTTGAGCGGTCAACACCTGATCCTTTTCCACACCCAGGCTTCTGCCTGTTTGCCAAATTCTACAAAACAGAATGAATCAGTAGATTCACACCAAGAATCCATGGAGTGAATCAAAAACTGAAAGGGATTCAATAGAGACACCTCTTTCTCCAATTCTTCAATTCTGGTCTTTATGTAATATGCAGTTTTCTTAACTTCCTCGACATCTTTCTCCATTTTCTCCTTTATAGCTGCAGACAATCATTGGATCAAGCTGAATTAATTAGTTTAACACCCATGAACTTCAGTAGATCCCGAGAACAACAAACTTCAAATCTGTCCTTTTATCAAATCGGCAATTTAACATCTTGAAACAGTCCTACTTCAACATATTCTTGATATCAATATCATAATTTCGAACTATAAATTGTAAACTATTTCTCAATCACATGTGTTAGGAATTGGCAAGTATATGTTAGGAGGAAAAAATTAAATAATAACTAACTTACAGTTAGTTATGGGTGGCAGAGCATAGTTTTTAAATAAGACTATATATAGCTGTTTGGGGGGGGGGGGGAGAGAGGGAGTTTTTTGGGAAGTTAGTTCATTAATAGGATTATTACATCTTGTGAGGGAAAGTTGTTGATTGTAATCAGAGTATTGTTCATGTTAAAAGCAATAATAAAAGTACTTGGGAGTATTGTTTCCTCTGTGTGTAAGAGGAGAGACGTGAGATTGCGTAGAACCTTAGGTTCTTTCTATCACAGAACCTAACAATTTGGTCCGACCTGCCGGATCCAAATCGAGGAGCCATGGAGGGAAGAGTAGGAGTGCTGGAAAGGTGGGCTGAACGGTGGACCAGTGAACAGGAAAAAGTGAATACAGAGCTGAGAAATGTCATTCAAGAAATGAAAGATTTACTCAAGAATTTCAAGAAAAGTGACAGAGAATTTGAGAAGAGTGAAAATTCGGTACAAGGGGGGATAGGAGGAAGATTGGAGCAAGAAGATTCTGAGGAAGAAGTAGTGCAGAGACAATGGATGAAGAGGGTGGATCTACCTGTGTTTGAAAGAACTGACCCTGTGGGATGGATTGGAAGGGCGGAAATTTTTTTTGAGATTCAAAAGATCAACCCAAGAGAGAAATTGTGTCTGGCTTTTATCAGCATGGAAGGGAATGCGAATCATTGGTTCAAATTTTGGAAAAAAAAAACCAATAATTGTTCTTGGGAAGAAATCACCGTGGCTTTGAATAGAAGGTTTGGAGGAAAGGAACGAAGTACAGTCTTCGAGAGATTGGCAGCAATTAAACAAGGAGGAAGTGTTGAAGAATATACTTAGGAATTTGAAATTTTAGTGTCTCAGATCCCAGCTATGGAGGAAGACCAGCTTCTTGAATATTTTTTGGCAGAGTTAAGAACTGAAATTCGAAAACAAATCAGGCCTCACGACCCAAAGGATTTGTTAAGAGTTATGGAGGTAGCAAGAGATGTTGAAGATGTCATGAAAGAAACAAGTGGAGGAGGAGGAAATGCATACTAGAACAAAACTTATGGGTTCTGTTATCAAGGAGGAACGAGCAAGATATCAAGAACCGAAACCTTTAAAGGATCTAGTGAAAGTGATGAAGATCTTATTGAATCATTTGATAAAACAAAGATCTTGTTGAGTTGATGAAGTCAAAGGTTACTTGAGTTAAAAGGGTAGAGTGATTAGTGAGTCTGCATCTATATATAGGTATAATCATTCATATCTCTCTGCTGCATGAGGTTTCATCATTTGAAAGAATTTGAAAATGCCTCTAAAGATGTTTTTAATCCGTTAAAAACCAAAGCAATCACTTAAAATGTTTTTAAGAAATTGATTTAACTGATATTATATGAGTTTTATTAATTAAAATGTTCTTAAAACTTACATGACAGATTTTTAAGCTGATAGGCTTTCGAAATAATCGATTAAAACCATTTAAAACATTCACTCGGAATTGTTTTAATCGATACACTTTCAAATTAATCGATTATTTTCATTAAAGGAGTTTTTGAAAACTTTCACGTCGGTGTTTTAACTAATATATATTCAAAATGATCGATTAAAATCCTTTAAAATATTTTGAAAAGTGTGCTGGCAGTATTTTATTCGATATAACTTTGAAATAATCAATTAAAACCACTTGAAAAGCTTTTAATCGATGTAATCTCATATATGATCGAACAGAATAAGTTTTAATCGATATAATCTCAAAAATGATCGATCAGAATAATTTTAATTGATGTAAAATCAAATTAATCGATTAAAACAACTTAATGAACTTTTTGCTAACCCTTTTAATCGATTAAAACTTGTTGTTATCAGTTAAAATTACTTAGAAAGTTTTGTGAAAGTTTTTGGCAGAATATTAATCTTTTAAATTGCGAATTAATCGATTAAAACAACTTAAGATGATTTTTGTTAATTGTTTTAATCGATTAAAACGATGTTGCATCAGTTAAAATAAATATAGAAAATAATCAAGAACATTTTAACAGATTAAAAGAAGTTTTAACCGATTAATCAAAGACTTTTAACAGATTAGAAGAACGGTTTAACAGATTAAACCAGAAGTTGAAAAACTTTTCTATATAAACAGACTTGATTCAACATTTTAAAATATACTTTTGAGTAATCAATCAAGCAATCATAAGAGCTACCTTCAAGAAAGAATTACACAAATTTGTAGAGTTTTTCAGAGTTCTTTCTTGAGGCAATTTTTGCATTCTTTTGGTGAAGAAACTCATTCTGCAGGAGCTGCATAATCCGGGTTTGATTGTTCTAGTTTCTTCTCTTTGTTCTTTCAATTTCTTTACTGTATTGTGAGTGTCTGAAATTGTTGGGTACTAGTTCTATAGCTGGAATTTGGCTGCAGGTTGGTGCAAGAATTGGAAATTGGTTCTTGGGTAGTGTGTCTGGAATTGTTGGGCACTGGTTCTGTGGCTGGAATTTGGCTGCAGGTTGGTACAAGAACTGGAACTTGGTTCTTGGGTAGTGTGTGTCTGGAATTGTTGGACACTGGTTCTGTAGCTAGAATTTGGCTGCAGGTTGGTTCAAGAACTGGAATTTGGTTCTTGGTAAAGGTTTAGGTGCAAGATCTGAAATTTGGGTCTTGTGGTAGATTGGGTGTGATTGGAATCTGTAATCTGTAAAACATTTAATCCAGTGGAACTCCGTTAGAATTTGGCTGAGAACTGGACGTAACCCTGGGATTGGGTGAACCAGTATAAATCTTGGTTGTATTTTTCTAAACCTTACTCTCTTTAATTCTGCTACTGTCTTACTTTGAATAGATTGATTTTCTTGATTCAAGAATTGGTCAAAACTCTTAATCTTTGAAATAGATAATCTGTGAATTGCGAAAATCTTTCAAAGATCAATTCACCCCCCCGCCCCCTCTTGATCTCAGCCTTTTTTTCTAACATCTGGTTCTTCCCAAGGAGCACCCAGTAATAACAATATTGCAAGGAAGGGGACAGGGGACACTTCATGGGGGTCCAAGGTAGGAGACACTTCTATAGGGGAGGTTAGAACAAGAGGAGTGAAGAATCTGCCATATCCTGAATATATACGAAGAAGGGAGGAAGGAAGGTGTTTTCATTGTGGGGGCCCTAATAGTCCAAGTCATAGGTGCCCAGAAAAAAATTTAAGAGTAATCATCATGGCAGAAGATGAAGAAGAGGGTCCTAGAGGGGAAGAAGAGGACGAAGGAAAAGTAGAGATGGAGCATAAAAGGATGGAGCTTTCTTTGTTCTCAGCAGGAGGGTTAACACCAACAAACACCATGAAACTGTCAGGTTGGATTAAAGGGAGAAAGGTGCTGATCCTGATTGATAGTGGGGCTAGTCACAATTTTGTTGCTTCAAGTTTAGTGGCAGAACTAGGTCTGCTGGTGGAAGAGACAAGGCCTTATTGTGTGAAGCTTGGGGATGGGCAAAAGAAGTTAACCAGTGGGTGCTGCAAGGACATTAAAGTGAGCCTAAGTAATTAAGAAGTGCAGGAAACCTTTTTCCTTTTTGAGCTAGGTGGAGTAGACTTGATATTGGGGATGACATGGTTGGCAACATTGGGAGAAGTGAAGGTTAATTGGAAATCGTTAACCATGAATTTTGAGTGGGAAGGACAACAAGTTGAGATAAGAGGTGACCTACTCTTACCAAAAAATTGATTTCTCCGCAGGCTTTGATAAAGGAGACAGATATAGAGGTCATAACTATACTCTAGGAAATGGCAGCAGGTGGGGCTAGCAGTAAAAAGGGAGAAACAGTTTTAACCACTGGACAGACAGATGAATTGGAGGGTGTTTTAGAAGAATTTAGTGGGTAATTTCAGGAAGTTTCTGGGCTTCTTCCCCAACAACCAGTAAACCATAGAATCCCCATTAAAGAAGGTGTAAATACTGTCAATGTCAAACCTTATAGGTACTCACATTTTTTAAAGGATGAAATAGAAAGACAGGTGGCAGAGATGTTGAAAATGGGTATCATTAGGCCCAGTAACAGCCCATTCTCCAGCCCAGTGATATTAGTCAAGAAAAAGGATGGAAGTTGGAGATTTTGTATTGATTATAGGGCTCTCAATAAGGCCACGGTTGCAGATAAATTCCCCATTCCAGTAATTGAAGAATTAATTGATGAACTACATGGAGCCAGATTTTTCTCTAAGGTGGATTTGAAAGCAGGTTACCACCAAATCAGGATGCATGAAGCTGATATTCCTAAGACAACATTTAGAACTCATCAAGGCCATTATGAGTTCTTAGTTATGCCCTTTGGGCAAACTAATGCCCCAGCTTCTTTTCAATGTGCCATGAATAATGTTCTCCAAGAATGGTTGTGTAAGTGTGTTCTTGTGTTTTTTGATGACATATTAATTTATAGCAAGACTTGGGAGGATCATGTTCAGCATTTAAGGCAGGTCTTGGGAAAATTGTTACAACAGCAGTTTTATGTTAATAAAAAGAAATGTGCATTTGGCCAACAAGTAGTGAAGTATTTGGGTCATGTGATCTCTATTAAGGGAGTTGCTATGGATGAGGAGAAGTTAGCAGCTATAACTAAATGGCCCAAACCAAAAACTATTAAGGCTCTAAGGGGATTCCTAGGATTAACAGAAGGTTTATCAGGAATTATGGTAATGTAGCACGACCCTTGACAAGTTTGATGAAGAAAAGAAATTTTGATTGGACTAAGGAGAGTGAGGAAGCTTTGGAGAATCTGAAGCAGGCTATGACTACAGCTCTAGTGCTAGTTCTTCCCAACTTCAATGAGCCTTTTTCAATAGAATGTGATGCCTCGGGGAGTGGAGTTGGGGCTGTATTATCCCAAAACAGAAAACCTATAGCTTTCTTTAGTAAGGCACTGTCAGATTCCTCTCTCATGAAATCCATATAAGAGAAGGAACTCATGTCTTTACAGAAATTCACTACGGTATTTATTAGATCAACGAATTACAACTCAGAACCAGCAAAATTGGCTAGCCAAACTTCTAGGTTATAAGTTTGAAATAGTTTACAAGACCGGGTCCTCTAATAAAGTGGTTGATGCCCTGTCTCGCAAGTGGGAAGAAATAGAAAAGGAAGAAAAGGAGTTGAGGGCCATATCTAAACCTTTTTGGCAAGATTTCCAATCAATAACCGAGGAAGTGGAGAAGGATGTGGTCTTGCAAAAGATTATTCAAGATTTGGGTCAGGACCCTGCCTCGCATGGCTATTTTACCTTGGAACAAGGACGGCTTCACCACAAAGGCAGGTTGGTTATTTCAGCTACATCCCTCTGGATTCCCAAACTATTAGCCGAGTATCACATCACACCAATAAGGGGCCACTTGGGTGTTTATAGGACCTATAGAAGGATTGGGCAATCCCTTTATTGGATTGGAATGCTGAATAAGGTGACAGAATTTGTGGCTGAGTGTTTAGTGTGTCAGCAGCACAAATACTTGGCCTCCTCACCTCAAGGTTTGTTGTAGCCCCTACTTATACCTAATGTTGTGTGGGAGGATATAAGCATGGATTTCATAGTGGGCCTATCCAAATCTAATGGTTATGATGCAATCTTGGTGGTTGTGGATAGATTAAGCAAGTATGGTCATGTTATTCCCTTAAAACACCCCTACACAGCCAGAACTATTGCAGAAGTTTTCGTCAAGGAAGTGGTTAAGTTACATGGGATACCAGCTTCTATTGTAAGTGATAGGGACCCCACATTTTTGAGTTTGTTTTGGAAAGAACTATTTCATTTACACGGCACTAGGCTCAACATGAGCACAGCATACCACCCAGAATCGGATGGACAAACAGAGGTTCTAAATAGGACCTTGGAAACATACCTAAGGTGCTTTAGCTCTAAACAACCTAAGGTGTGGTCTCAGTTTATACCCTGGGCTGAGTATTGGTATAATACTAGCTACCAAGGAGCAGTAAAAACCACCCCTTTTGAAGTGGTTTATGGTAGGTCACCACCCTCCTTACACCGCTTTGTCCCAGGAGAAACAGTAGTAGAGGCAATAGCCCAAGATTTGTTGGCGAGAGATGAAGCAATACGGCAATTTAAGTACTATTTGACTCGGGCTCAACAGCAAATGACTATGTTTGCAAAAAAGCACAGAAAACCTTCATCTATTCGCCTAGGGGATTATGTGTTCTTAAAAATTCATCCTAATCGCCAAGTGTCCATGCCAACTAGATTACATCCGAAGCTTTCAGCCAAGTACTATGGTCCCTTTCTAGTTCTACGACAAATTGGCCAGGTCGCTTTTTACCTCTAACTCCCTAACACCGCGCGGATACACCCGATGTTCTATGTTTCCCAACTAAAGAGAGCAGTAGGTTCTCTCCTGTTGAACAAGACCTACCAGAAGCTTTACAGGGCCAGACTACAATTAGTCTACCCTACAAGATTATTGACAAGAGACGCATACATCAGGAAGGGCAGGAGGAGTCTGTACAGTAGGTTTTAGTGCAATGGCAGAATGGAAGACCTGAAGCAGCAACATGGGAGGACGAAGCTACCATGCAATATCAATTTCCTGATTTCAACCTTGAGGACAAGGTTGTTGGGCCAGGAGGGAGTAATGTTAGGAATTGGAAAGTATATGTTAGGAGGAAAAAATTAAATAATAACTAACTTACAGTTAGTTATGGGTGGCAGAGCATAGTTTTTAAATAAGACTATATATAGTTATTTGGGGGGGTGAGAGAGGGAGTTTTTTGGGAAGTTAGTTCATTAACAGGATCATTACATCCTGTGAGGGAAAGTTTTTTATTGTAATCAAAGTATTGTTCATGTTAAAAGCAATAATAAAAGTACTTGGAAGTATTGTTTCCTGTGTGTGTAAGAGGAGAGACGTGAGATTGCATGGAACCTTAGGTTCTTTCGTCACGAGAACCTAACAACATGTATATTTAATTTATATTTTACAATACAAAATTCAATAATACCTACAAGAAATATTCCTCTAAAGGTTCAATGAATCACAAAAATAGTAGGAACTTCCACATTTGAGTGTGTCACTTATAATCACAAAAGTTGGAACTTCCACATTTGAGTGTGTCACTCATAATAATGTTGAAAAACACATTAAAGGAGGGATACATGACTCAAATCATTTTTTCTTTATTATTTTATGTTAATTAAAGAAAAATAAATTAAAAGGACAATGGAACATGCACAAGATTATACTAACCCTTCATGGAAGGAGCCTTAGTAACAACTTTGGTTTCTTCATGGGAATCCTGCATACAAGGTTTGAACAAAAAAGGTGAGGACAAATTTCAAGTATTTTTTTAGGTTATAGTATAAACCAACAAAGAAGCACAATGGCTTTTAGTAATTTGACCAAACATGTAATATTTATTTACTTAAGGCTTGATATGAATCTCAATAGCACAAGGGGTGATTTAGGATCTTTAGGGTTAGAATCTTGTAGGAAATTTAGGAATTTAGTGATAATGTGGAAGGAAAGAATCACTCTTCCCAAGGGAACCAACTCACAAAGGATGTGAAAGTCCTTTGATACAGTTGAATCACTTAAGAATTTACGAGAATCACTCTCACTAAGATAAAAAGATAAATTTTAATATTTCTGAATAAAATTCCACTTGTTATTTCTGAGAAAAATGGCTTAACTTATAAAGAAGTTTTGTCATCAGAGTTAAAAAGATTCACTAAAGGAAAATAAATATTAATAATGATTCATTAAGCTAGGAATTGAAAACTACTTAATGGCTGATTGTAACTGAAATTGTGGTAACCAAGAGTTAATCAGCTATGCACTCTCTTGGTCTCCCAAAAGCTGATACCTAAGTTTCCAATTGGGCCCTTATTACAACTTTTAAACAAAATCAAACTAAAGCTCATTAATTTATTAATCCAAAACATAATTTGGTCAACCAATTTCACAAAGGATTGGGCCATTATTTAAACTTAAAGACTGAAACAAAGTGACGCATTAATCCTTCTCCATTTGGGTTTATGATGTAATTCACAACTTTGGTCTTTTCTCCTTGAAATGTGGGTTGGGCTTGTATTCAAATAATATGGACAATACTTGTTGAATAACTTCCTTTGCTTCCCTTACTCTAGCCCTTGTCATAGGTCATGTTCTCATCATTCTCTCCCTTCTGAAAAGGATTTGTCCTCAAATTGGATTCGTCATCTACATAAAAAAGAGATAAGTCTAACAAATTGAATGTAGAACTAACATTATACTCACGTTTTACGGCTAAATAGTTCTCTCTCACTTCAAGTATTTCACTCTTCTTTTAATCACTCTTTTTCTTCTCAAGTGTTTCACTAATGCTTTCTTTTTCTCTCTTGTCTTGAAGAAGTTTTTTCCTCAATTTACTTTTTGTCCTCCTCTGCCATCACAATTTGACGTTCAAACCCTTAAACCGGAGCTCTGAATACCAAATGATATGAATCTCAATTGCACAAGGGGTGATTTAGGATCTTTAAGGTTAGAATCTTGTAGAAAATTTAGGAATTTAGTGATAAGGTGGAAGGAAAGAATCATTCTTCACAAGGGAGTCAACTCACAAAGGATATGAAAGTCCTTTGATACACTCAAGGGTTCTTGAATCACTCATGAATTTAGGAGAATCACTCTCACTGAGATAAAAGAAATAAACTCTAATATTTCTAAATAAAATTTCACTTGTTATGTCTAATAAAAATGGTTCATCTTATAAAAAAGTTTTGTCATCATAGTTACAAAGATTCATTAAAAGAAAAATAAATGCTAATAATGATTCATTAACCTAGTAATTGAAAACTACTTAATGGTTGATTGTAACTGAAATTGTGGCAACCAAAAGTCAATTAATTATACACCCTCTTGGTCTCCCAAAAGCTGATATCTAACTTTCCAATTGGGCCCTTATTACAACTTTGAAACAAAATCAAACTAAAGTCCATTAATTGATTAATCCAAAACATAATTTGGTTAACCAATTTCACAAAGGATTGAGCCATTATTTAAATAAACTTAAAGACTGAAACAAAGTGACGCATTAGTCCTTCTCTATTTGGGTTATGATGTAATTCACAACTTTGGTCTTTTCTCCTTGTTGAATAACTTCATTTCCTTCCCTTACTCTAGCCCTTGTCATAGGTCATGTTCTCATCAAGGCTGGCTCTTGCTACGTCTTCTTACATGTAAAAAACTTGTTAGACTACATCAGAACTTAAAAGTACTTATGAGATAGGGAAGTAAGGGGGCGGGGGTTGCAATTTTCAGACTGGCTATACTTTCTTCATTCTTCAGCATTTATCAATTACTCTAGAGTACATCAGGGAGTAAGAGTTCAGGTAACTAAAAGAGGTAGACAAAGATAATTCTGCTGTTAGATTAACAACAAGAAAATAACCTTGTTTTTTGGGAAGCCAAGCACACTCCAAAATATGTTATGCTTCTATTGCCCACTTTATTTATAATTATCATACTTCAGTGAAACTTAATTAATTCATTATACCATCCTCCAATTGTATATACCTGATCAAAATTGCTTCTTAGAGTGTTCCAAAAGCCAACAATTATTACTATTAGTCAAGTTTGAAAAGAAATATTACCTCAAGCATTTTCAAAAGCTTATCCAGCTTAGCATATTGCTTATCAAGTTCTTGAACCTAGTAAAAAAGTCAATCACTCAATGAGATGAGCAATATGATTGAACATGAATTTTAAGGCTCCCTAAGCTAAGGAACGGAAAGAAATATGAAAAGAGCTGAATAATGTTTTTATACAAATATATATATATATATATATATATATATATATATATATATATATATAAACACCTTTTTGAAGAAAGTATCCAAGCCCAATTCTCCTGAATTCCTCGCATATTCTCCTAACTCAATGTCAGCACCTCTGTTGTGGCCACGTGGGATTTCAAATGATTCCTGAAAAAAGAAAATACATCATCAAATTACTGTATATGGCTCAACCCTAACACTGATGTTGCTATCAGCACGTCCTTGGTAAACTAGTCATTACAGTTATTGCACAGCAATCAGCACATAGACAAAATAACACAATATTCTACATACCGCGAAAAGCATATACTGATATTAGATGCATGTAAAATTCAAAGCGTAACTTTTCTAAAAATGAAAAATCTTTGGACAAGATTTCCAGACTTCTTTACTAAAACACTCAATGAGAATCTCATTGGATTGAGGACTAAGAGTATATTTATAGTCTGACCAGTTGATCCCCATGTCTTTTCCATCATAGTGATCCGTGCATGTTAAGATATGTGGTTTTTACTCACGATTTTACAGTCCCATTAATTTATGCACACATTCCATATAGTTGTAGCTTGTTTTCGCCATTTCCAACCTCAATGTCATGATGATCAAGTTTCATAATTTTAAGTTTTCATGTATCTAAGTTGTAAAGGATCATTTCATTGCCGACCCTTACATTGGTCCTTTGACCGATCAAGTAATAAAACTACACTCACAAACAGAAAAAAATAACCTATTTCAAAATTTTAATATGGTCACACTACAACACGTTTTAACTATTAAGTACTATACTACTGTTAAGACCTATGTAGTGACAGGTAATTCTAAGGCCTAACAAGGGATGGATATATGCATTTGTGTCTTCCTTTTTTCACTCTGCACAGGTATTCGTTTTAGTATCATGGAAATACTGTAACAGTCAATGAAAAGATTGATTCATAGCCTAATTTACTGTACGAATCTTAAGTTACTAACTTCATTCAATAGATTTTGTAAATAAACAATTGCATATACTGCTTCCATTAACATCTTGTAACATTTTTAAATATAATTATGGAAAATGGAGCTTTGGTGGACAGCATGTCAACCATTTAAGTTGTATGTGAATGGATGTGTGCCTGCACTTCAACTTATAGCTAAAAGATATGAAGTATACTTTCAGCTCATAGTATATTAGAATGACAAAAATCAGAGAAAATTCTATAGGCATCATGGTGTCTATAAGATGTCCACTGTTATATAAGCTGTAAGGAATAATTTAAAAAATAAAGTCACAATAACATATTAAACATAAATAAAAATAAAATTCTGGGGATTAGGAAAGGATGAAATACCAGAAGTGCTGATTTTACAAGTATAATAATTTTAATTTGCTCACAACTCAATAACAAGCTTATACCCTTCACATCATTTCCTAAAGGATATCTTTTGAGTTGTTTTACCAAAAACAACATTCGCTGTATTCCGATTAGTCAATAAGAATCTTCTAAAGCCAAAAGGAGACTACTGAAGATATCATAAATGATTTATCCATTATTTATTTATTAATTTATGTTAAACAATTCCAAAATAGTTGACCATTGAAAACTAAAACCAAGTGCATGTTTAACTCTTGATTAATTTAATTGTCACTATCCATGGCAACCTCTTACAATAGTTATTCTTTTTCAAAACCGAATAAATAGCAACACAGACAAATACAAATCTCGGAACCATGAAGAAAACCAACACAAATTCCAACTCAAAAACTTCACAGGCTTGAGAAAACTATTAAGTGGCAAAGAGAAATTAAATTAAGTTTCCTTCAAGAAACACCCACCAAAACATTTCATTTCAACTTAACTCAAACAATGATGAAGAAAATGAAATACCAATTTTCAAATGCTTCAGAAACCACATTCCCTAAACCCCATAGTTTTCCTTGTTTTTCTGAGCAAACAAACATGAAGAGAAAAAAATAGCAGAGGATAAATTTAAACAACAACAAAATTGAACATGAGTTGGCACATTGTGTACAAAGCTAGATCTGACAATAACCCACGTAAAGAAAATCCTAAATGCGTGAAAATAAAGGATAAATAATGAAGAACAAGTTGAATCAACAATGAAGAAATGAAAAAAAAAAAAATATATATATATATATATGGTGAAAGGGAAGGTAGAGAATGGCAGGTTACCGTTAGAAGATCGTTCATTTTGGAAGAAAGACGAGAAATTCAAAGGGAAAAGGGAATGTGTTTGGAAAAGGGTATTAAGATTTTAGAGTTGGTGAGGACCTGGTAGATAACAAACCAGGCCAGAGTTTCATTCCTCAACGACAAAGAAAGAGAATGAAAGAAAGAAAGAAGAAGGAAAGAAAAAGAGACGTGTCTTTGAAACTTTTTTTTTATTATTATTTTTTTTCTATGATGGAAAGTTTGGAAATGGAACCAGTGACTCAGACAGGTAGGTAACAGCTACTTTGAAGGGTTTAGGATAATTAAAAATTAATTATCAAAATTTAAAATGCTAATTAATAGTTTGTTTTTTTTTTTTCGTTTAACTTGCATTTGGTTTCTTTAAGTAAAATGTTGGAATAGAAAAAATAAGCATCATTGATTTTGTTAAAGATATTTAACCATTTTTTTTATAAAATTTAATTATTAATAAAATTGTAAATAATTATAAAAATAAAAAAATTGGGATAGTTTTTATATTACACAAGTCATGCGAAAGGAGGAAAGATGTTAAAATTGAAAGAAAAAAAATGGCTAGACGATTGCTGTGAGTTCTAAAAGTTTCAACTAAAAGTGCACAGAGGAAAAAATATTGTATTTTTTTCTTAAATTGTATTAAAGTAAAAATAATATAGAAGAGAGATGATGAATCTTAAACAAGAAATGAGAATATATAACTATTTTGAAGTTGAATTTTATATACAATTAGTGGAAGTGATTTTTTATATGCAGTTATTAAAACATAATATGTGCTTAGTTCAATAATTTATAATCTTACAATAAAGAGACATAAAATTTAATATCGTGATTATTATAGTTATAATTTGTAGGTTATAAATAGTTTTAGTTAAAAATAGAGTCAAAAATAAATTGAAAAGGTAAATTGTCTCATTTTTATTTCTTAATTGTAAAAAAAATGAAAATGCATGAAAAGTTATGATATTAATTCAGTTTATTTAATAATTAAGAATAGTTCCATTAGTTATAACATCAATGTCAATACATTAAATATGTAACAATTAATTACTTCAAAAACAGAGTGTGGTAACAGCTGTCAGCTAAGGAGATGAAGGAGAAAATCTAGGGATCTATTCCAATTTCCTTGCATTGGTTTAATAATTTTAATTATGGTTAAAGATCTATGATTTCTTTTCCTATCTTTATTTCTCTGAGTTAGTATTTGAATTTTACTTCAAGGCTTCTAACAGTTTTTTTCAGATATGTGGGGGCAAATCAATCACTTAATCTTGAAGAAATGAGAATTTCCTTAATTGAATTAATTAGATAATGAAAAGGGAAATATTAAATATTTCTTTGATTGGTTGGATGCTGAGTTCTGCCCCAATTCTTAATTTGATCATGCACTTTTTCAGTTTGTTTAGGCTTTATTACCCTGAAAAGAAAAACTTTAGGGTTGCAACTTTCCATAGTTTACCAGCATAAATTCTTTTAATATCATTATGAAAGTTTGTTTTTAATAATCAGTAAGTAATGTTTTATTTTTATTGTTAAACTAATTCGAATAAGATAGAAAAGATCGAAAATAAAGGTTAATTCGACATGATGCATATTCAAAGTTAAACTCATGATTCAGTCAAAGATTTAGTGAAATTAAATTAATGACTAAATCCATTTCTATCAATAATAAAAATAAAAACCAATAATGTCATGAAAGATCCTTAAAAAAAACTAAAATACTGAATTAAACTTCAAAACAAAATATAGTGTGAGAGCATTGTATTATTTAGACATATTGATATCAGTTGGAATACAATCTTCCATACTTTGATTTTAAATTATTGATTCCTATTTATTTATTTTTCTTCTTACTGGATTCAATTCCAAGTTGAAGTGAATCGGTAATCTAAAGAGGTTCATATCCAAGGGTAATTTTTTTTTCCCCCTTTTCAAATAACACTCTACAGCGCCAGTCTTAAAATAACAACAAAAGGAAGACAGAAATTTCAAACAAGAAAACTAAAAAGAAAACTGGAATTTGAGATGCTAACCCAGGGTGGTCGCAGATTAAAAAATGTTTTAGATTGTCCAATTTGATTACAGGTAAAGGAAGGTAGAATTTCCAGGTTGGTTAAAATGGTCTTGCAGCCTCTTCGATCATCTTCTTTACTCTGGTCAACTTCTGAATTTCCTTAAGAGCCTGGTATTATTAGTTAAGAATAAAAGCTAATAAGAATAATGCTACACAGCCAGAAAATAAAATTTGTCAAAATCAAGATTCAGTAATAACAGTTGGACAAGTCAAAATGGTTAGGCTAATTTATCACTCTAGCAGTGGTCAACAACAATGCTTACTCATTGTAACAAAACTTAGGCTCATTTTATACTTCCTGAAAGGAAATCGTTAGCATGTCATACTTCTAATTGCTTGGGTAGAAAATATAACCTCCAAAGTCAAGTCTTCTCTTGTAACTTCATCTAAGTTGTCACAGGCCAACCAGGATGCAACTTCTATAAAAGGAAAAAGATGTTAGGACTTGAGACAAACATTGTAAACAAAACAGCCAGGGAAGGTTGAGTACTTCGAACTGAAATAACAGCATCAGCTGTAGCATATCCAGCTCTGTATTTATCATACAGAGCACCTAGTTCATCCTTTACCTAACAACAGTTATCAGAGGCATTAAAAATCAGGGATTTAGATTTACTGAAGCAAGTTTGTAAACCAGTGTAACTACACTTTTCACAGCAAAGAATAAACCTCTGGGTATAATCCTGAAATAGATATTTCAGATGGAGGAAATTGACTCTGGTCTTCTGTTATATCCGTAGCCACAAAATCTAGAGGTACATCTATCCACAATGAAACTCCATGTCTCAGAAGTGCCCTATGTCAATTCAAGAGCAAATTTAGCTAATAAAATAATGACTAATGAGGTAACACAGGTTGGCATATTATTCATCCTATGGTTGGTTTTCTCATGCATCCGCACTCTAAATGAATCAAAATTGTTGGACGAAGATCAAGTGGATCAAATCTCGAATGCATGATATAAGTATGATTTACCAAGTTAAAATGAGTTGCTTGATCTTCATCCAACTGTGGTTGGTTTTTTCATGCATGGCATAAGTACGATATAGGTAAAATGAGTTGCTTGATCTTCATCCAACAATTCTTATTCGCTCACTGCATGGATGTGTGAAAAATGGACAACAGCAACTATGGATTGTGAGCACAAATAGCTAGTAGTTATAAATTCATACAGATTAGTTGGAGTTGTCACAGCCCCATTTCCTGCACAAACCACTAGTCGACCCATGGAAGATAATTGCTTCAGTACTTCAGTCTGCAGCATTTGACATGTAAAAAGCATTAGTATTTGATATTCCAATTCAACAGTTAAGTGATGGATATGCGTATCTTCATCCAGAAAACTCAGCCAAAAACGAAATATGCCAGCCCTACTACTTACATGAAATTAGTATACCAAGGTCACACATACAATCAAAGTTTAACATGTTTGTTAGTTCTTACAAATGTAGCGATTTTTTGTTTAAGTAAAGGTAAATATTTTGTTAATTTTGATCTTTATTAATTGCTTTTTTTTAGTTCTTATAGTATCATGAATCCAAATATATCATTCCACATCATTCAAAATAATACCTAAGAGCATGCTTTGTCATCCTTAAATGGTAACGACCATTTTAAATTTATGAGAACCAAAACCAATGACATTTCTTCAGCACTAGATCAGCCCAAACATTTCCCAGCCCAACAATCAATCAGCAAGAATCAAGTTCAGAGGCCCAAGCGTGAAGCCAAGCCCAACAACAACAAAGATTTTATCTATTATTAGTATTGTTCTTTTCACTTGATTCTATCTTGTAGAAGGAGGTATTAGTTCCTAGAAGATATGGAAAGATTCGGAGAGATAGTTTGTTACGCTATTTTGCAATTGTTGGTTATCTTTCAATCATGCATTCCGTTAGCATGAAATCTAAAATATTTAAATGATGTATTGATTTCCATTTGGAGGGAGAAAAGAGAAAAGTTTCTATTCCTTCTCTATTTTTCTTCTAAGGAGGTCAACTCTGCCTCACATACAGAGTAAAAATTATCCCCCACCCATCATTGGTGCTTTCATTGACCATTTCTCTCCTCCCCATGGCTGACAACACCAAAAGCAAGTATACTAGTGAAAAACTTCATGAACTTTTACTGAAATTTACCTCCTTTCAAAATTCCATGACTGAACGACTAAATGAGGTGGTAAATCGTGTTTCAGCTCTGGAAAACACTTCTCCTCTGGAAAACACTTCTCCTCCTGTCTCCCCTGGCCCCTTGAAAGTTTCCCCGCTCTCTGAAAACTTTACCCACAAATGCCTTTTGAAGCTTGATGTTCCTCGTTTCAGTGGAACCGACACCACCGGATGGATTTTCAAGATCTCTCAATTTTTCGATTACCACGATACTCCATCGGAGGACCACATCACCATTGCTTCATTCTAGCTCAACGCCCTTCTCTTGCCTAGTACCAATGGATGTACCGCAATAACCAGTTGGTTTCTTGGCACCAATTCCTCTGTGTGCTAGAAAAACGTTTTGCTCCCACCGCCTTCAACGACCCCCGAGGTAATCTTTTTAAGCTCACTCAATCGTCCTTTGTCGAATGTTATCTGAGTGAATTCGAGGCTTTGGCTAACCGTATTGAGGGGCTTCAACCCTCTCTTCTTCTGAGTTGCTTTATCTCTGGTTTGAAGTCAGATATCAAACGTGAGGTCATTGCACAACAACCATCCTCCCTCCACGACGCTATGGGGTTGGCTCAATTACATGAGGAACAGTTATCGGAGTTATATCGTCACCTCTGTATCAAATCCACACAATGGTCTTCTCAGGCATTTACTCCGATTACACAACTCATTTTATCACCGGCACAATCCCTACCACCGCTTTTACTCACACCGCCTCCTAGAACTCGCTTCAAACAGCTTACTGAAGCTAAAATGGTCGAACGTCG